AGCGGTCACCGAGAAAAGAGAGAGAGAAAGACAGGCAGCGCTGGCTGGACCCAGCGGTCGCTGGTGACGACACTGATATGTTTGCACGAGGCATCGAACGCTTTTGACATCGTGTATCTTTCATCATCAGTCAACATCAATCGACATCAAAATTTTTTGACCGAAATATTAATGAAGTGAGGATGCCGCGAAACGATCGAGTCATCGAACCGTTTTGAATGCAGTATCAAGTAGGATCTTACAATGCAGATTACAACTGATAGACAGGGAGAAAGACAGGGAGCTTGCAGAAACAACGGTCAGCTCGAATGACTAGTGTCGGCTGAATCTTGCCGATAGTGATGACATTGATATACTCGCGTCAAATCAAATATTCGACACTCATATATATATTTTTTATCATCGATCAGTATAAGTCAAATTTTTGGTAGAAACATTAATCAATCGGGCATATCATAGACTCATCGAACTTTTTTGACGTATCGAGCAAAATCTAACAATATGAGTATCAAAATGCGAAAATGTAGATATTTATTTGTAGACAGACACACATATTGTTCGAGTACCCTGATATTGAGAGTGTGATACTGAAATTTCTTATACGAGATGGACAATGATCAATTATTAAATTATATAACTAATTAATTATATAATTTAATAATTAATTTATAAATAAATAATATTATTTATAAAATAATTATTAGACGTTGATCTCTTTCGAGACGATACATTTGTAGAAAACCATTGAGAGAAGCTAGAGTAAATGTAAAAGGACATTTACTTATACCGATTTACTTTCTATATGTCTTCTTTTTTTATTCAGAACAAGGATATAGAAGAGTATTAGCTTTTAATGAGCACAATATTATAAGTTAAAACAATCATTTATTATAATTTGTAATCATTTAGTAGCGATTTCATTTCAGCTTTATTTCTTATTAATCTTAAAATTTTCTTATTTAAACAAACTTAACATTAATTAAAAAAAAAATTTAAAGAAGTTTTAGGAAATTTAACACTTTTATTAAATTAAGAGATTATTGTATTTTTAATCTAAAAATATTGTGTAACACTTGTTTGCTATTCAAACGAAAATTCAAGCTAGCAGTTTCTTTTAATATCGAAATTATTTAAGAATGTAAACTCAAACCGATACATCAAACAGTCACACGATACGTGACAAAATATATTTTTTTTATTTAGAAAAATTATACTATCTAAACCGATTAAATTGTCAAATATTTACTTAATAATCGATTAAATTAACCTAAGAATTCGTCCGAGGACTATCAGTAGTTATCTACCAGCAGTCGCGTTTCCCGGTGTGTGTACTCCTTGAAATCACTCTGTACGTCCGTGTTGTGTCCGTCCGTGCCTACTCTCCTGCCTGTCTCCGTCGGTGCTCGGGCCCGGTGGGATAGGACGCGGTGGAAGGAGTAGTAAGCGGCCTACGCAGTTTCAACCTGGGTCCCAGCTTTTATTAGTTCTTCGGCGCTCGGCGGAGAACGAACGGAAAACGAACGAACGTGTGCGTGGTGCGGCGGCGGTCTGTACCCCCCTGGTCCGGACCTCTGATCGGACCCCGAGTCGAGCCTGCAGCTCCGAGACACCTGCAGTCTCTTACGAATCCTCGGAGGCGACTCGCGTGAGGAGGTACGAATAACCAGCGGTGTTATCAAGGTGTCGATAAGAGCGAGGGATCACGAGTAATACCGAGTGACTTCGGATATATATATATATATATGTCAGTGCGAGACGATTTGGAGGATCGAATTGTCGGTGTTTGATCTTGGGTGTTACGTCTTGGGTGTTAGATAACGAGTGTCGAAAATTGGGGTTGAAAAAAAAGCAAGAGACTACAATCGTTGATCGATGATAATTGGTGATATTAATCCCTCGAGTCGATTTCACGTATTCGCGAATTCGGTGAATAGTGACAGTTGGCGAACGTGAGAGTGTTCAGTTCAAATATTATCATCACAATATCTCTTTAAAAAAGAGAGAGAGACAGAATCCTCCTTCTTCTTCTCCCTCTTCTGATTCCGCTCGGGGAACCGATCGTACCTGAAGGGTTGTAATCTTAGAGAGAATACCGGATATCTAAACGATCGGAATGCTACTGTGTCACTGAAGGTAAATCTAACATTGACAGGGGCAAAATCTCTAACATCGACACATATTAATGACGATGACGACAAATCAATCGATTGGCAGGATCGAATCCTCGGCTCGGTTCGATTCTTACCGCGAATGTTAATCGAAGGGAGAACAGTGGTGAAGAGCTCGAGTCTTCGGTAGGTCGGGTAGGTAGATAGGTAGGGGTTCTACCGCTATACGTATGTTCGCGGAGCCGAATAGATTACAGAGGGTCCCCCGAGAGCGAGTTATTTCGCGCGCAGATTGGATCTGCCGGCCGAAGCTTCGCTCGGCTCGGCGCTGGGCAAACCAGCGAAAGGGTAATATCCCATTAACTGAAAGATCAATTAACTCGCGTTAACGGACACTTTAATCACCGATGTGTGCAGCTAGAGGCCTCTCTCGCGATGCACGCGCGCGCGCGCGCGCGAGCGCGAATCTAGGCGTTTAATCTGCCCGGTTCCGAGATCGAGTCGACCGATCATACGCGCCGAGCTCCTCGCTATGAGGAGCGATCGCGATATAATACGAGGGGAAAGGATGGGGGTAGGGGGGGCAAACAGGATATCGAGGAAAGGAACATATTATTCATTGACGCGGCCGGATTGAAACGGGAATAAACATTTATGGAGATGTCGCCAGGCACTTGTGTGCGATGAGCTCTTGTGTCTGTCCTCGAGGATCACTCGATCGGGCCGAGTTCTCCGAATTAATATGCCGAGAGATTTACGATAGCGACGGGTTGAGTTAACGCGCCCCTAAATCGACAGACCTGTCGTCGTGCGCGTCGGATTATTTTTTTAAATAAACGGCAACGCGTATGGAAAAAATTTATATACTACCGCATTTATTTGTCGATAACAATTTCTTTTCGATAATTTATTTCTCAAAGAAATTTAATGTGGAAGTTCTCGTGAAAAAAATATCTACTTTTAATAATAAAAATTGTAGTTATGATTAATTATTTCGGTATTTTTTTTTTTCAAAAATACAATTTTAGCCTCTGTAAAATAATTTTATTGCAAAACATATTTTAATCTTATATTTGTAAAAAATAATATGTTTACGCACGATACATCTTATCAAGCATCGTTGAGCGTAAATAGACTCGATGCGCAAAAGGTCGATTGCTCCTTTTCTCATGTTTTTCTCTCGCCCTCTCGCCTGTCCGCACTCACGAGATGAAGATCGCGCCCATCAGCCCGAGGTGTAAATCCCCTTCGCTGAATCTCCGATACGGTTTTATCGCACGTTTCAGCGTACGGCGGGCGGACGTGCGTCGCGTGTAACCGCACCGTGATAGAGACGTAAGAGTTTAAAGAAGACGAATACACGCGAGAGACGGTGCAACGATAAGCACCGGGAGGAACTTTCGGCCTTGACGTGTACAAAGTGTGTCAGTGTTACTCGCGCGCGAGCGAACGAGCGAGAGAGAGAGAAAGAGAGGAACGCTTTCGATGGGAATCACCGTTGCTGGTTCCATTCACCATAATGCATCCGCGTAACGTGACCCTTCGCGTCCAGATTTCTCTCGCTGCCTGGTATAAGCGATGGCTGCTTCGCATAATCGCGACGACGGAGGACGCACGCGGGACGCACACGGTTAAAAAATTTTTTCGTTAAAAAATATGCCGATTAAAATTTTTGTGTTAAATATTTAACACATTTATGTGTTAATTTAACATATTGCTGTTGTGTCAATTGAATTAAAATGTTAAATTATTACAACAACTGAAAAAAGTGTAAAAATAACACAATGTGCACATATTTTTAAATTTACACAATAGATATGTTCCGTATTAATGACAGGATTTATCTGTCAAAGTTTTACAAAAAAAAAATGTTGATTTTATTCTATAATAGGAGTGAGAGTGACTACAGACCGACAATAACATTTTTCTAACAATAAGTTAATTTTATCATTAAAAATATATTGATTTTACAGAAAATTTGTACACGGTGTGTGTGCAAATAAAGTGATCGCGCCTGATTCTTTTTTTTTTCGCGAATCACGAGTGCGACTTATGATCTCCATTTCCATTTCTGGTATCTGCGTCATGCTCGCGCCGTACGTGTTCTATTAGTTTTGAGTCATATTTCCGCATCGACTAAATTGATGATAAAGTGACGGGTCGTTTGGACGATATTTATTATCGTTTTTTAGAGATTGAATACACAAATCAATTACATTGATTTGATTATTACAAAAATCGTTTACAGAGATTTACGTGTCGCAAGAATTTTAAAACTGCGGAGTTATTTAACACGGATAATTATAGCTTTTGGTGAATGAAAAAAAGTCACAGTCACTACTAATTCTTCTACCGAATCACGATTGGACAGTCATGTTTACGACGGTGTCCGACGGATTTCTCGTGATGAAATTTTTATACGGATATTTCTTCGACTTTCTGATCTGACAGTAATTTATGCTAATTTCATTTATCTTTTCAAACAACCGAAACAGCAAATGAGATTATGAATTCGTTAATTCGTAAACATTTTTAATGCCATGATGAAGTGCTGTAAATGCTGGAAGCTTGTTTTATGATAATCGATGATGTTTTGAGTATAGAAACAGAATATATTTAATACAGATTCATTATTGAAAATTTTACATTCGCGATTTCGGTAATCAAGTAGCGGTTGTTTAACCAAGAGTGCCTTATTATACATGTGCGAGTGAAAGCGTGAAAAAAAATATGGAGCAACCAAAAAGCCGCGACGAATTTCGTGATCGCGGAATGAACGACCCGAAAAGTATTATATATTGTAAGAAGCTCCCGAGATACAATTTACACACACAGTTGAAAAATTTGGCTCAAATTTAATAGATATCGTATATCCCATATTTTTGTGCTAATTTAACATAATATGGATATGTTAAATGGTGACACTAATACAATATTAATATTTCAACACAAAATGAATGTAAATTTCATAGTAACTTGAAATAAATTTTCTATAAAATCAACATATTTTTAATAATAAAATTAATTTGACTTAATCGTCAAAAAAAATTATTGACGGTTTGTAGTCACTCTTACTTTTATTATAGAATAAAATCAACATTTTTACTGTAAATTTTGACAGATAAATCCTGTCACTAATAATACGGAACATACTTATTGTGTAAAATTAAAAATATGTGTACATTATGTTATTTTTACACTCTTCTTCAGTTGTTTTATTAATTTAACATTTAAGTTCAATTAACATAACAGCAATATGTAAAATTAATACATGAATGTGTTAAACATTTAACACGAAAATTTTAACCGGCATATTTTTGAAGAAGAAAATAAATTAATAAATTTCCCAACTGTACAGGAAAATTGCGTCGACTGTAAACGCGGGAGGATTCGTCTTGAGTAGGCTCGGTAGGCCGTTGAAGATAAAGTTCGTAGGCGAATCTACGTCGAATGGTAAGAGCAGGAATTTTATAAGTGGTGGTACCCCGTTCCGGAGGAATACGTGCGCGCGAAGGATCCTCCCGGCTTTTGCACGAGCGCGGCGCGATATCCTCTCCTGCCGCGCGCGATCTAAATTAAAATCTTTCCTCGGCCTCTCTCGTCGATTCTCCGACTGCCCGGCGTAACGGGTGACGGCTAGAAACGAAAGGCCTCGAGTTTGCGTGAGCGGCGAGAAAAATAAGCAGGAATCGCACACGGAAACGCTGACAACGCTCGTTACATGAGCGTCCGGGCGTATTTTTTTCAGTCACGCTTTACGATGTTTGCGTAAATTTATTGGTCTGGCGATATTAACCGTAAAATGCACCGCTCTGTGGTAATAAGTAATGAAAGAAAGAAACGAGTCTCATCAACTTGTTTTCGCAGACACATTCGAAGAACGACCCAATGAGAAATCGAAAGGATATATAAAGGAGATCCAAAGGATATATAAATATTTAAAAAATCGTATGAAAGATAATTTTTAATTATAGAATAGAATCTCTTATGTAAAATAGTAAAATGTTACACTAATTGATTAAGAAAATTTCACAGCTATTTATTATTAAACGTTGTCGATTAAAGTCTCTAATCCAGAAGAATCAAAACTGCGAGAATATAGAGTAACCCAAAAATCTTTTAAGAAACTATTCAAATATGAGAGATCGCATGTACAAAATATACACTTTTATTAAGTAAGCATGACATTACTGAAAGTAAAATCAGACATTTTATTATGTATAGAGATTGACGTATAAATTTTTCTCTAAAACCCATGCGGACAAAAGTATAGTATACAAGATGTAATCTAGAAATCTCCTGGATTTCAAGGGTGTTATTAAGCTACTGAAACTACATAGGTAGAGTTCTTCGAGAGCACCGTGTATAAACCGGCTATGATTCTCGCTCCATTTGGATCCACTCGTGCTCTATAATCCAGCAGCAGCTTTCTAATAGCGGTTTGATCGCGATTGCAGACGCGAGCCTTCGCACCTCCGAGCCGGACGGATGCCCTTCTCGCGTCCAGCCGCCTCGACTACCACTGATTTTATTATCGGGCTTCTTCGCGCCGTCAATAAAAGTCAATGAAGAAGGTGCTAAACGTTTCACGCGCGCGAAAAACGGGAGTGTTTATTACATGTCTCGGTATCCGAATGTCCCTCGCGCGTAGAGAATAATGCGGTATATATAACATCGACGTGAGTCTCGGTTGTTGCTTTTATTGCCGGCGCGCGTTTTTGATTTTCGCACTATTATCCCGTAACGAATGTGAAAGATTTGAAGGAGAGGACCAGGCGGACCGTTAGAGGATTCGGAACGATGTCGGTGACTTTGTAAGCTTTTATATCGCCTTCCGACCTTCTAATTCTTGTTTTTTTACCCTCGTGGGGATTCTAATTCTAACACGCATGAGAATTTGACTAGATGAATTTGACCGCGCTTTTGTCACGATCTCGCCGCTAATGACTAACGTCGAGGACGACATGAAATCATCGCGAAATCCGTTGTCGCATTTTCTGACAGAGAAGGCTACGTTTTTATTATTCCCGTGCTCGTGCTGTTATGCAACATGAGGAAGCGGCAAATAACATGTATTAAGGAATCCTACCGCGTGTATGTGTGTCAGTGTTCGAGAAAAGCAGATTTCTCATCGCCAATATTTGCTTGATAATACTAGAAATGCAAATTAAACAATGTTATATATTTTCATCTTTTTTATTTTTAAATTATATATATATATATATTATTTATGTTTATTTATAAGTAAAATTCAAAAGAAAATTTATAAGAGATTAAAATTGTCGAGTTTTATTTGCATCTACGTTTGAAGCTGGTGCATCTTTTATAAAGAATGATCTTTTTTGTCAATTTGATCAATTATAAAATTTATTAATTATAAAGAAAAATATAGCATGATATTATTTTTATGCAATCGATAATAATACTTTGGACAAAAAATAATGTAAAATAATCATTTTTCGATTATATTTTAAAAGCTGCGAAAAACATGATGGGATATAATGTTCTCGCTCGGCTCGATGCAACTTTCTTCGCTCTCCGTCAGCTATCTTAATTGCCGACTACTCTAGTAAGGAAGAAAAAATATTCGACGTGGAATGCGCGCAAGGTGGAATTAAAATCGCAAGAATATAGTCGCGTCTTGCTGCATTTAGCGACGTTTTTTATTCTTCTCTTTACTATTATCCAGTCCCATAGCGGGTAACGAAGGACGCATTATAGGGTCCCCTCGTACATTAGACGCGGTCCTGGAGACCCGTCGCCTTTTTTCCTTTTGCACCCTGGATCGAATCGGACGTTTCTTCGCGCGATTAGGCGACTAGGAGACGCGTGGGAGTCGAAGCCTGTTGTAAACTTTCATCCAAAAAAAAATATATTAACGTCAGTTTTTATAGCGTTGATTCCCGTCGGGGGAGAGCACGACGGGAGATTCTGCGGTCTTGTTCGCCAAATATGGCCACCCGAGCCTACCGCGAGTAGGCTTAATCCCCCGATCAGTCTCATGCGAATTGTCTCGTTTGAAGCTGGCGTTTCCTCCCTCGCGCTAATAAAGTCGTTGAATGACGCCGCAACCCCGTCCACATACGTCACTCGAGAACTCGCCAAGACGTATCACTCCGGTCAGCTGATGGCCTTGACAGATAAACGCGCGCGCGCGGGGTCACCTTTATTTGTTTCACAAGGGCAGATGCCGATCAGTAGACAAAAACGCACCATGAATGTTAATTTCTACTTCAGCGATTCATCCGAGAATCTTTTAGTGAATCTTTAATTCAACAGTTTGTACAGCATGCTCAATAATTGGAGATACTCTTTAAAAGAATATAGTTTAATTTCTTTTTATTATTGCAAACAATTTATCTGTTTTTTCTTTCTTTTCTTTTGTTACAGTTTTTATTTCTAAATTAGAACTAGTTTCTTGAATTATAAAATTGTTAGAAAATATACAGAGGATTTAAAATTTTTAAATAAATGATGAATTTTTTAGCACAAGGCACGTCGATTTTTACACGTTTTCACGACATTGAAGCTGCTTCGCTCAGTAAAAAGATTGCGACGAAGGTCAACTTCTTGAAAAAACAAAGTTGTTTTTACACGATAGCGCGAAAAACATCGAGTGAAATAAAGCGCTTCTGACGATAATGATCCGTCCCCTGACGCTTCCGCCTGTGTCGTCCGAGTGACTGTCGTCAGCGATATTTTTAGAGTCGTTTTTATATCGAGATGACCATGCCCGATCCTTTTGCTTTTATACGCCGTGAAGTCTGGGATTGATTGCTTTATCAATTTACGTAAATTCACGAAAACGTATGACGTTTCGCGTGCGATTAATGGAGCGGCATATTCGGTACATTTGGCGTCTCTCTTGTTTTTATTTTCGAGGAAAAAATTTTATTCCATGCACAGCTTCATACGTTTTGTTTCTATCTATCAGAACGTTATGAAATAACATGCAAACAACTGCATCAATTATTCTTGGTAAAATAGTTTCTAAAAATTAGGACGCTTGCTAGATTGAACGTTAGCAAAATACTCATTGACGACTATCAATCCGATAAATTTTTTTTATGAAAAAATTGATTTGCAAACGAGTCAGACATTTTTCCGCGTACAATCAATAATCTTTTTTTCATATAAAATAATATTTAGACGTGACAGAATATGCGCGCGAAATATGACAAAATCGAGACAGGACAGTATAATTTATTGATGTCGTTTTAGAAATTAATTAAGTTCGAGTCAACATCGTATCTCATAGCCTCGAGTCGACGACGCGATACTTTGTTACTGCTGCTTCTATGAAATTTAAATTAGATGTCGTTACGTTTAGATCGTAATATCGATAAGAAAATCGCGAAATTACGTTCCGGTATCCGGCTAATTACGGGGTGTAATTACGATAATGTTTAATACAGACGGTATACAGGGGAAAAAAAAGTAAGACGGGTGAGGAGGAAGGAGGAAGTCTTATCGCATAATCGTTCCTATTAGCAATGTTTTCATCGGCGAATCCATTGCCGATATTGTGCAATGTCACCGTCATCCTTGTCACTGTCATTATATCGTTGCGCGTATCTCGAGTATCCCATCTGCCTGCATGACGACAAAGAGAACCATTATCACTCGTTGCGCGTTTATCATCGTCTACCTTATAGTTGGCATGCGCTAGTATAGACACGTCGCAGGGAACATCACGATGCTATCACTTGTCTCTCTCTCTCTCTCATAATTCCACATGCGCACGCAGAAATAGCGTATACAGCAAGCGCAAACATTATTCTCGTACATAAACTGCACTCTCATGACAACTGAGGAACAATTGCTCGGCCGATCGTTCGTTTGAAAGTAGAATAAGTCTGGGAGAGCTCTCGTTACAATTGATACAGCCCGTCAGTTTCTGCAATTACATTATTTAACGTTCGTTATATATGTTCAAATGATATTCTGATACTCTGAAACATCCTGTTATTCGCATTCTTTCCAAACAGATCCTCGTGCGTTCGATCGAACGAACGGACAGTTTCGTGATCAGAGAAGTAACGGACGAAAGGAAGACTAGACACGTAAATCTTCATCGATGAGATTATCCCAAGTATTAAGAGCGCAGCTTTGCTTGGCTTACAGGTCGGTGATCGGGTCTACGGATGCGCTTCGTGAAGGGAGATAAGAACGAAAGAGAGTTTCGGGGGTGAGAGTGGTGTAAAAGTACGAGAGCGTGTGAAAGGGGGGCGAACGAAACGGGGAGAAACGTGCCTCCCTAGCTGGGTCGCGTGGCATGATCGGGCGAAAAGGTGAAAAGGCAAGATGCTTACGATACAGCGTTCGGAGTCGTTGAGAGGGGCAGAAGGCTGCAATCCCCCCGGCACGCATTTGCTACCCCCCGTTGGGTCCGGGGCTTCCGTCTCCGGGTGGAAGCCCGCCGAGAGAAGCGTCTCCTTCAATCGAGACGTCCACGTGAAGAGGATCGGTGAGTCCAGGCAATATCACACACACCACACAAACTATACCGACATATCCTGCATATGTAGCGGAGCGAGAGAGATCGAGAGAAATGGCGCTGCTTGATTTTTCGGACCCGACGCATGTCGGCTATTTTAATAAAATAATATTCTCTCACGTATTTGTATATTAATTAAATATCGCAGATTTTTTTTAAATTTTAAATAAATGGACAAATATCAATGGTAAATAAATGGATAAATAATGATATAAAAATACGAACGATTTCGTGTACAATAAATTTTATTTTTTTATTCAATTTTACGCGAGGGAAATAAAATCTAAATTCTAATTTAGAATTTAGATATGTAAAAGATAAGCTATAGTCATATACATATAATTTTCTCGCCAATCTTTCGTGAAGGCCAGCCCTTCAGGTTTCGTCTAACAGTATCCGCGCGCGTGAGGGCCAAGTACCGTTTGCCGAATTAAAATCTGATAAGACGCGAAGACGACCTGTTTGCAAGGACGATCTTCCGGTACGATTGGTGCATACGCGGTCGGAATTTAATGCGTTATAAAAGTGCACGCACGCGCGGTACCAGAGAGAAAGAACGGGAGAAGAGATTGCGATTTTACCTCGCGATTCCGCGATGTCTTGTATTTCAAAAAAAAAAAAAAAATAAAAATTACGGGCCAGACGTAGAGAGCGATCCCAGATTGTGGAAATGATTCGCGACGCGACTCTCGCTTCTAGTTCTCGACAGCGATCTCGTCTCTCGGCGATGCGACCGTCGTTTCCAAGAAGCAGTCTCGACGCGGAAAATTATGCGTGCGAAATTCTACCGAAACAAAGATCATGTTTAATTTCATCAAGACGAGAGCGACAGACGGAGACGCGAGAGAGATTTCAGATTTCTTTTAATATGGTTAATTGAAACCGTTCGTGTTTAAATTCCTTTCGGTCGATTTTTTCCTCCTTCGAATTTGTTTCATGATATTTTTTTGATAGAGATTCTGGATATGTCGCATTACATTGACATTTACATCTAGTACATTTAGTATTTTTTTTAGTATTTTATTTTTTCAGTGTAATAAATACAAATCATGCAAATAGTACGCAAAAAATTGATAATAATCACATGCAACTAAAAAAATGTATTTTTAATAAATGTCTCTTACGCCAGCATGACGTTTAAATGCAAATGTGAGAAAAGATTCTCGGATTTCTCGAGTAGGAGTAAATCGCGCGACCGACCAAGACCGAGACGTCAAGCAGTGCCATAGCGCTAAGAGCTATGCAATTCGCCTAACTTGTGTCTAACTTCCGCAACTCCCTCGATATATGAATGTGTAACAATACTTAATCAGCAGAGCCTGCCGCGGACTAATGGCACGAAATAATAATCGTTACGCTATGCGAGATCGACTCGTTTTCTCTTGCATTGTTATATCTAATATTGACTCTATTTAATCGTAGCTAATTATTGATCGCGTAACAAATAATCTTAACGACGACTCTCTCCTCTCTCCAGAGAAGATAGCAGATGATTTCAATGACCTTGACATCGTCGAGGTCGACAAGATCATCGCCATCTTGAATTCGAGAGGAGACGATTTCATTGAAGGACACGCGCGCCTTCTCTGTCTCTCTTCGCAGTTCTCTTAATGCAATATGTGGGATTGTAATGGTATTGGTGTGTGCGCACAGGACTCAACCATTCCTCTTATATTACTAGCTAATTATTAATCGTATTAATGATCCCCCACCCCTCTTACGCTCCGCGAAGTAAACATTGATCCGCATTATGTTCCTCTGAGCTCACAAAATTTTTGCTGAATTCTTAACAAATGTTAAGCGCTGTATAATAATGATAAGACTGTATACATTTTAGTAAATATTAATTTTGTTAATGACTATTATGTAACACTCTCGAAAATTCAGTTTTTAATATATAATGGTAATTAAAAATTAAATGGAAACGTAAAACAAAATCCATCAAAAATTAAATAAAAAAAAAAAGTATGTACTAATAAAAATTGTGCAACTGATCTGTTACAAGTCTCCTTCGCGCGGTCGTTACATTACGCTAGGTCACGTAGATACATTAAAAGCAGTATACGGAGATCGCACTTCTATCTTATTTATACGCAGTTTCAGGGAAGCAACTTAATATGCCACACACTACGAGCCGTGGCGAAGTACGGGATAAGCGCGGCAGATAAAGCTAAACGCAACGAACCGTCACAAGTTACGAGCGTTTCCGCTTTCCGTGTACTATCGCCAACACGGCGATCGAAACTCATTCACATTCTCAGCATCTCTTACCTTGTTTTGACAGTTCGAATTATACCGGCGCAGATAAAATTAATGACTACCAAATCGAGGCAATTATCTTAAGATTCGACTGGAGTTTTATTTCAATTTACAACTGGCATTATATTTTATAGTTGGCATCTCCGTTGGGCGGGGCTGCACATAATTACACGCGCTGTATATTAATTTTGAAATGTCATGGAACATGTGTGTAATACATATTTTCGAAACATATTTTCATACGCGTCGACTATTCCCCAGTGGAAATGTCAAACTTAATCGTATATTATTTTATTTCGTTATTTATTTAAATATCTGAAGCTCTTTACACAGGAAAATTTTTTCACACATATATTTTATAAATTACTACTTTAACAAAAATAATGGAATTGATTCCAAACTCGTTAAAAAATTTGTCTCTAAAAGATTATTTAATAATATTTTTTGAATTGCATTATCGTGTCTATCGATTAGATCTTTAATGATATTGATTCGTATTGCGAGCAAGCGTTTCTAGAAATGTCGAGAATATTTTTCCTTCCGTGACCTTTTTTCTTTCAGAATCGAAAGATATATCTCGATTGACAAGGTCGAGTGTCATTGGCGCGATCGGATACGGTCGACGAACTCTCACTGACTCTATTCGCTTATTACGATGACGCAAACAATAAAAGCACATACTTTGCTCACAATCAGTACAATTTACCGCGAAATCGCAATGATCGATTCAAGCCTGAAGAACATAATTGAATTCGGATATTTATTATCGTGCCCGTTTAATTCTTGATGTCACTGATCAGCTGATCAGCAATAGCGACTATAAGATCGGAGGGTACCTTTGTTCTCAAAAGATGTTTTAAGTATTTTCAATTAATATATCGAATCTCAATAAAAATTATTTTCTATTGATTCTATTTTCTATTATTTATTTTTTTTAAGATTATTCTAGCATTATACATTGCACTTCCATATATTAATTAATAAGATTAGTAAAACACGTAAATCCGTTGTAGCGATTTCTTATCAATCGGAAGTGATCTATATCGTTCGGAAAGTGATACTCCAAAATTAAAGGGAGACTTTGCACCGCGATAAAAAGGTCGAATCGGTGCATTTACGATCGTATCGTATTTCTTATCATACCGGTATGAAGTGTATGTTTCTTGCCATCCTCCCTTTTTCCCCTTTTTCTTTATTTTTCCATCTCTCTCACTCTCTTCGTTTCCCCTCTCGTCGTCAATGCGGGCGGTCTCGGGAAGTCAGCCTAGTTGGGTGCAGCGTTGCGTTCGCGCATGTGCCTCTCGTCCAAGCTTGTTAAGGGCCCCTTGTGTCGTCCGCATTATCCCGCCTGTTGGCGTTTCCTGGATCGTCGCGTGCTCCGCGATCGCAGAGTCCGGCCTTAGCTTGCATCGGTTGCGTGTATGTGTGTGTGTATGAATGTGTGTGTGTAACGAGGTGTAATACGCTTCGCGCTACGATCTTTGTTAGATCACTAATGGACGCCGCGCGGAATCGCCCCGAGATATAATGCGGATCGTGGAAAAAGTAGCTCTATCACTGCACAGGAAGTTACAATCGAGTCCCCTTCTATTCGGTATAAACGATCGCTTCTATAGCGTGATCATGCATCTCCTTTAATTTCGAATCATTAAATCTGGTTTTGAGCTCCGTATTATCTTTCCTTGGTGACGCATCGCGAGTTTGATGATAACGCAACGAATCTAGGTAGCGATCAGGTCGCACGAGAATCGCAGGCAGCAGATGTAAGGAAGTAGATACTCGAAGCACCGCGAATGGACCGGTATCGCGAGTCAACGGCGTGGAGATCGGATATCACGTGTAAACCGCTGTCATTAATGCCGTACGATCGCGTTAATCGCCTTTCTTGCCGGAGAAATGCCAACACGATCAATTGCGAATTAACAGTCCTAGGCATGAATACCGACATTAAGACGGGCTTATACATGGCATATTAATCTTCATCTCTCGCGAAATAATTTGTCCTAGCTCTTCACGATATACCCTATCATAGTTATAAAGTTCTCTTATTATTACTAAATATATATTGTGTGTACGAAATTTATTATAATTATTACAAATTTTTTTTTTTTAGTCTTGACAAATCTTTTTTAAATATTTAATTCATATTTAAATTATTTAATATGTGAATTTTACTATGTATTTCTTATAAATTCTATTGTTTCTGATAGAAGTAGCCAAGTAACTTTAAGGTTACGAACAAACCCGCAGAAACGAGGAAGTGCCGGGATATCGGATAGACCGGTAAAGTTGAAAACGTGGGGATCGTTCTGACATCACTTTTATGAAACGCGTGCTTACAAGTGGAAGTGAGTAAGAGGAGAAGGGAAAGAGATTATGGGAATACAAATTAGCGCAATCCGGCCGTGAGCATCTACCCAGTGCATTTGACGCGATCTACCTGCGATTCGACAAAATTCTACTATGTATTCTACAGTGAAATTCTACCGGCACATATAAACAAGACACTCATCGCAAAGAGATTTCCATTGGAGTTTTGTTTGTGAGAATGAATTAAAAGCACTGTTGGAAAATTCGTGTTTTCTTGTTAAAAAATCGTTAAAAAACTTTATAATTAAAAATATGTTGATTTTACAGAAAATTTATTTCAAATTACTATAAAGTTCGCATTTATTTTGCGTTGAAATATTAATATATATAAAATTATAAAA